TGCTGAATACTACCTATCGGCAAAAGCCAGAACAAAGGGTTGGAACCTACTACTGCTATAAAGTCGCCGTAGCACCCACGATGGTAAGTAGACTGTCAACGAGCATCGCAGGACGCAGCTGAACGATCCGCTGACCCACCCCACTGAAACCAAGCTTCTTAGTAGACTTCTCGCAGTACTCTATAGTGGTCATCGCCTTGAATGCTAACCTGCATGCCAAGTCGGTTGGGGTGTACTGCGAGACAACTGATAGTACCATATGTGGAAGGCGAAGAATGCTGTTAGTAATAGCCCGAATAGAGAGGAGAGGACCATGCCGAATACAAGGAGGAAGACCCGTCCCAACGGCTCCTCCTCTTCTACTGCATAACGCGTCTAACACAGGAAAATATCACTCCACAACGTATGACGTAAGCCATTCATACTGATAACAAAATATTGTCAATTTTCAAAACGTGGCGACATTACGACTAGTGCTATCCTGGAAATTCGATGGAGCTTACGAGAGAGAAAATACTAGTTGTGGAGCGAGCGGAGCAATTTCCAAAGTAGTTTCAATAACAGCCAGTTGAATTCTAGATAAGAAGCTAAACGAGCTCCGCCCTTTCGCACCGAAGACCTAGTATGCATAAAATTCCTTCAAAATATGAGATAACAAGCAACTGATTCGAAACATATAAAATTGTCTCCTCCTCCCCCAGCGCTCATGTATTCCCGCAGAAAGGACAGCTGGAGGGCTCATGTCCCGAACCTACCGATTCAAACATAGTAATCCACATAAAGTGAGCCGCTAGTGTTGCATAGAGGAGCAGGAGGAAGAAATACTTGTGGTTGCGGAAACCAACACAGTTGTATATCCATGGACAGTGGTGGTCCATTTTCAGTACCTGAATATGCTAGGAATTCTCATTGGTCATTCAACGTGGAGTTCTAGCCAGGGAAGTAGTTGATGATGAAGAGTGAAGAGCGTTGAACCACTCACACATCTCTTGCAAACGCGGCAGTGATGACATCTGTCGGGTTTGAACCTGCGACCTCCACCATGACAATCATCCAACTTAACGACGGTGACTGACTTTCCACACCATTTACAGTGTCTCCTCGCTCCACTTCGCTTCTTTTCTTGAGCATCTGACAGGAACAATCGTAAAAACCCGTCGAATCGTCTATGCTCTCACTTGGTAGAATAGTAGCAACTACTATAGGCTCGTCCTCGTCTCCGCTGTATAACCATTTCTCAGTATTAGGAATCTGTGAGGAAAATTCGTGAAGTTAATCCATGATTACGTAGCATAGGAGTTCATATAATATGAACCTATCACCAATTTCGACGACGATCTTCCCACGGTGGGAGTTTTTTTTTCTCTCTAAAAATCAAGCACGACCGTTTCCTTACCTCTCCTGGGTTAGTGACCACACAGAGAGTATAGCAGACGAGTAGCATAGCAAAAAGAGAGTTGAATATGATCAACTCTATCCAACCTCTTTGCGCCCTAAGACCACGTCAATGCTGTATATAAGGTATGTTCATCATCAGCTACATCTCATGCCGTAGTGCTGCCGGTCTTTCTAGTTGAAGTAATGGTAAGATGTGAACCTTACAGATACCACTCACCATAGGAGCTCAGGAGCAGAATTTACAAAGTTGTATATCGCCCACAAGGTGAAGATAATGGTGCAGACGAAGAGCACGGGCAAGAAGCGCGCGGGTTCCCGATCGGGGAGGGCGAGGGGAGCTAGAGGGAAGCTGGAAGAGCTATCCGGCATCAACAGGGGAGGACATTGTTGGCTGAAACACGTGAGAATGTAATTGAGAGTAGCGGTTGGCCTCATGGACTTAGTATTGTGAAACGATCCTATATTATACTTTAGCCACCTCAGGAGAATAACAACCCCATGTTCGATGACTCAATTGTGAGAGTTAGAATCGATTCTAAGATCGTGTAATACGTGTAATACGCGATTCTGGAATCGAATCTCAGTTTCGAAATCGGTTTAAAGAGCGACCCCTAAGACTGTGAGCTGCTGGGAATCGACATAAGAGTGCGAAGGTGATGATTTGCCAATAGAGACTAGTGTTGTGAGATGGTGTGTTTGTTCTCCTATCCATTGTCGTTGAAATGTTTATGAAGGGTGTGTAAATTCAACTAGTCTTCACCCGCACTCGGAATAAGCGCTGCAAAAAGCGCGCGCCCGAAATTAAATGAGTAACGTTCACGCTTGCCGATGCTGCACGAAATGGAGCCGTATCCTCAACGCTAGTGAACATGACTCTATGGTAGACGTGGTGTGACGGTGGTGACTTGTATATAGGCCTTCTACTTTGTTGTTGTCGCGGTATGGCTGGTAGCGTATTGCTAAGTGTTCATCATTGTGCTCGGCGTTTGCATAGCTGTTCTAGTGCTCATCTCCACTACGGAAAGGTTCAAGGGTCTCTACCCGAGGAGGACAGGTCGCTATTGTGTCGGTCGTAGCCGCTAGAAGATGGTGTTGGTGCGATTGGAAGTATTCATTTGTCTTCATCTGTTTTAATTGACGCAGTTGGTCTCAAACGCATCTTGCTGCTATGTATTAGGGAATCTTCACTGTGAGTGTAGGGGCATCGTCCTCAGCCACACTGGAGATCCTCTCTGAGACCGATTCCGAGAAGCCGCCTTGTGCCGCCGCTTAGGCGGTTCTATCCACCTCTAGATGTTGCTGTTCTTGGTCAGAAGGTTCGTTACTACCACCACTACTGAGAAGACTGTGGATGTATGCTCTTAGCGCTCCCTATCAGCCGCTTGTGTGGGATAATAGCGATTGATGTTACTCATGTGGTTAAGTCTTTGGAGTTGTGCTGAACTACCCTGCTCGAGCCTCAGTCAGGTGAGGTGTTCATTTCGAGGCGTCGATTCACCGTTGCCAAGGCGGTGTAGACTTGCACCAAGGTGTCACTAGCTACTGTTGATCTGACTGTCGTGTGGTCCGATACTGGCGATTTGGTCCTCAATTATTTGGTCTATGCTGAAGTCTGGTTCCTCGGCTATCTACGTGTGAATACGCTACCTTTGTTCCTGGTTGTGCTGCAGCGCACACCGCTATTCATAACAGTGGTACCTCGTATATGGTTTCGCTGGCTGGTGGTGGTTGTGGTCTTTGCGAAGTCGTG